GGGGCCGGCCTGGCAGGGGAGCCTGGAGGGCAGAGCCCTGGGGTCGGGCTGGCTGCCGGTCACGTCCGTACCCAGAGGGGTGCAGCGAGATCGCGGCGTGGCCACGCGATACCATGTGGCTTTGCAGGGAGTTGTGCTCCGGGGAGGGGATAATTAACTGTCAGTTAATTGGTAGCATCTCTTGAAGCTGAAAAAGCCAACACACGCGCGTTGTTCGTGGTTCTCCGGCCGTCTCTGCTGTCGGGGCCTCTCCGGGGGCTGGCTCAGCACAGTGCCTCCCGCTCTCCCACCGAGATGAGAGCAGGCCTTCAGCCGGGGAGTGGTTTGGAGGGATTCTCCCTCCTCTCCCGGGTGGGGAGTTCGGTTTTTGGGTGCTGGAAAGCCTTTGCAGTTCACGCATGCACAGCAGCAGAGTAAGAAGCAGCAGGACAGCGTGACTGTCTGGGTGCAGGTTTTCTGCGTGGATCAGCCCTGCGTGTCCCAGATGGGAGGGAAGGGGGCTGTCCCAAAGGGGCAGAACTCCCGGGGGCCACCCTGCCAGCAAAGCTCTTGCTTGCAAGTTCATTTATTTACCTTCTGGGCTGCCTCCCTGGAGGAGAGCTCCCCGACGTGGTTGCTTGACAGAGCTTCTTTTTAATCTTTCCTCAGGGATTTTATGGACCCGACGATGGATAACACCAAGCACATTTTAAATTACCTGATGCCCATCATAGACCTGGTGAACCCTGAGGTGCATGACTTCATGCAGAGGTACGTGGACGCTCCCCCGGAGCCTCCTGGCTCTCCCCTGCCAGCCCCGTGGTGCTGCTGGTGGGGCCGTTTGCACCAGCGTGTCCCCAGCCCCGCAGGGGCTTTCTCCGCAGCCCACAGCTAACGGCGACGGTCCCGTGCCGTGTGGCACTCTGCTGCCTGTCTTGAGGGGTTCTGAACGGTGTCATCTTCACCCTGGTGGTCTGCACTCCGGATCGGAAAGGCTGGGGGGTTGTGGGCAGCGTCACACCAAGCTGCCACAAGCGCTTCACGTGCCCGGTTTGGTGGCTGCTGTCACCTGGCCGTAGTTTGTTGCTGGTTCTGGGGACGATTCCCCGGCTGTGCAGCAGGGACACGCAGGTCCAGTCCAGGCAGAGTGAAGCAGAAGCAGGAAGGTGAGTGGGAAGGTGCAGTCCAGAGGCTTTTTCTGGGCAAGTGTCTCTGTTAGGTGTCATGGCCGGGATGTCTGTGGGTACCCAGCTTGGTTAGAAACTCCCAGAAGTTAGTAAGCCTTTGGGGTAGAAAGGAATCCAGAAAGCTGATGGTGCTGCAGGACTTCAGGAGTCCTCAGGTCAGCGTGCCAGGCAGGGACATGGAATGTCACACCCTGAAAGCCGCCTTTTGGGGCTCTACCACGGAACCCCCTGGATGTGAGACGCGCAGCGCT